CCTACCCCTCGGGTCGAGCCCAGCGGGAGCAAACTGGACCAGCCAGATGTCAATCAACATGTGGTGTGATTCCCTTAGCCAACCAACAGAGTCGGACCCAAGACCCCTCTGATACCAAATGTAAGCTCCTGAGTTTGGACTTCCCGGGAGGTCACCCAGCCCAGTACTATTCAAGCCCAAGGACGCTTAACTCCAACTATCCCAAGACCCTTAACCGATTGGAAAAGGGGGTGCACTCTTGTTCATGGGCCCTTTCCCTCTATATTTGAACCCCATGGATCGTCTCTCGAGTCGTTCCCTTTGGTTGCTTACAGTAATATCTTTTTATAAATGAAAGTTTTGCTTCTCTCGTTCGTTAGTACTTAGGTCAGTTTTGGCAAGTTGACTTTGGCACTTTGGTGCATGGGTCCAATCCATAACCATGGGGATAACTATTATAGACTGATCACAAGTCCCTGCCTCTCTCTCAATGACTCATTTTTGAAAAAAGGTATGGTTGTGTAAACAACTTAATCTGCTAGTTTATAATAGTTGTCTAAATCTTCCTGACGGGGTTGATTTCTTGCTCAGGGGAAGCTAAGCCTCTGGCCTTCTCCCTATATCCCTGCGGGAAATGATGTATCATTCCTTTTTGTAAACCGAGTGGCACTCAGAGCATGGCTAACTCCATTAGTCATTTCTTTGTTGGTGACGGCCGGAGGGTGTTTAAGTGTTAACATCTTTGGATGTAGAGGAGAGGTAGTTCCATAACTCATTTAAGTTGGTGTGTTTCCCACATAATGTGTTTTCCATTAACTTTTGGAGTTGTTTCCTTGACGGTTTGCTAAAGTTGGGTATGCATTGACGAGGACGTCGATCTTCCCCAAGGGGGGAAGAGTGTCGTGAATGTGACTTCGGGTATCAAAAAATACTTGTCGGCCAATCCTTATAGACACTCTCTCCTTACTGCCACGACAGCAGGAGGTTGGTACTACTAATTCCCTTTATGGTCTCCACCTAAGCTAGTTGATAAATTGGTTAGCACATGTGCAACTTAGACCAGAAGGGCACTAAAGAAGGAAATCCTAAGTTGTCATTATGTCAAGCATACTTGACACAATGACGAGAAACTCATGTTGTTGGCTTGCACTTGCTAGTGTTGGAAACCCTAGCAATATTAAGATTAGTCCCCCAATATTCATTAAATGATAGTTTACTGTGTTTGCTAAACACCCTCACTATCATGCCCTTTGTGTTAATCTCATGTCTTAAATGGTATTTATGGAAAGTGTCCAGATTCGCTTATTTGGCACATTTATAGAATGTAAAGATTATCCTAAACAAAATGGTGTTTGTCCTATATCCATATTCGCAATCTAAGAACATTCCATATTTAGTAAATCTTGAGTTTGTTCTAAAGACTAACTCTTGGTACTAAGGGAGGCTTGGGGTGAAAGCCCAAAGCGTGTGTTCCTCAAGGAGGGTGGGGGGGAGGAATTATAAAAGGTTTCAAGTGTATAGTAGGGATAGTGGTTAGAATGCATGTCTAACCATTTGAAACATTAATTTGGCTTTCACTGAGCTATATTGCTCCTTGTTTTGCATCTGGTTTGGGTTTAAGCCCAAGCTCCACACTGCTTTAGTCAGTGGGGTACCTTCCTCCTCGCATTAGGCCACCGGTATGCCAAATTGTATCAGACACCATCTGACACTATTTTGTCTGTAGGTGCTGGATATGGAGAATTGGTGCTTATGGGATTATACTAAACCCTCGTTTCATAGCACAACGAGCTTGGAGTTCTACTCTAAATTCAAGTGCGTTATAGGCCAGACTTGAGAATTGACAACAAGAGCAGAAAGAATTGTACCACACACTATAAATGCCACTATCAATTAAATTTAATTGTTCAATTGCAATTGCATAGCATCAAACAATTGCATCAATTGTTACTTTAAAATCAAAGGAGGAGGAAGTTACTACTTTGCCATGAAAATAAATGAAAAAGAAAAAAATAAAATAAAAGAAACCGAAAAAAGCAATAAGGAAAGGGAGATTTAGATTTTGTAAAAACTAAATCTAAAATATAGTCCCAAATTCAAGCACTTCTTAGGGACAATCAAAATTACCCCTCATTTCCACTAATGTGAGTGTATGGAATATAAAAATGAAATACAGAAATATACATATTAATTAACCAAAAAATTCTAATTTATATATAATATATAACATCATAACCGTACACCTCACAATTTGATATAAAATATTACATAAAAAAAATGTTTTCTACATAATTGATGATAGTCATTTTGACCCTTTTGGTTTGTCAAGAGTGCCTCACTCCCAACGTTCTCTTTCGCCCTTGGAACGCCACCAGGGCATTCTTGTACTCCTCCTCTCCAAAATCCGGCCAGAGCTGCTTCTCAAACACGAGCTCTGAGTAGGCGAGATGCCACAGCATGAAATTGCTCAGCCGCTGCTCGCCGCTGGTGCGAACAAGCAGCTCCGGCGCGCCAACATCCTCGCACCGCTCGCCTAGCATCAATCTCCTTGACAGGTTGATCTGATCGATGTCCTGCACAGCCAGATTCCCCTGCTGCACCTCGCGTGCCAGCGCCTGGCACGCCTGGACCAGATCACTGTGCCCGCCATAGCCAATCGCCATGACGAATTTCATCCCCGTGTTGCCGCTGGTGATGCATTGCGCTTCCGAGATCTTGACCTGGAGGGTGCGCGGGAGCCTTGCAGTGTCGCCAATGCAGTGGAATTGGATCCCATCCCTGACCAGAAATCCACACGAGTCAATCCAATTCATTCGGACCAGCAACGCTATAGAAACGCCACTCACAGCAGCATGGTGGCAGGATCATCGAGGCTGAGAACTCTCTCAAATTGCTGCATCCACTGATCCACCTCCTCCCTGGGCCGCAAGAAATTCTCGGTGGAGAAGGCGAAGAGCGTGAGCGCCTTGATCCCCCAGTCGCTGGACAACCTCACGATCTCCCGGGCGTTGGAGTAGCACGCCTCCGCCGCGGCTCGCAGCTGGAACTCCTTGGCGATCCCTCGCGCCTTTGCCCACCGCGAGTTTCCGTCCATGATCATCGCAACGTGGTTGGGGAGCCGCAAAGGATCCACCCCCGCGGGCAAACGCGTCGTCGTCGTCGTCGCAAGGCGGGAAGGGCAGGGAGCGGCAATGCTGGCCATGAAAGAAGAGTTAGATTCGAGAAAGACTGTGTGATTCGCTCCAGAGGGACAGGACTACACGTATAAATACTCGCAGAAACAAGTTGTTTGCGCCAAGCAAACAGGGAACACCCGGCAAACTAAAACACGTAATACACGATTCCCACGCCGCAATAGAAACACTTGTATCGCAGAAAAAAACTGTTCGATATGTCGACTACTATAAAAAACCGCAAATTACTTTTCTCATGTGAAACGAACTGATGCTTACCAGAAGAAGGGAAGCTCGTTTCAAGCATTGGAATTCACCATCGGGAATTCCTCGTCGTCGTCGTCCGACTTGTAAAACCTCTCGTCTCTCTTCGGCGTCTATAATCGCCTTTCGCTGCTTCTAAGATTTCTGCCCACCACAGCCTGTTTGTTCGTGATAAATCCAAGAAGTTTTGTTCCTTTGGGTGTTTTTTCTTACGCTTACTACTAAAGCTTGCTTATTCATCCAGTGGGAACAATACGCTCTCAGCCACAGTGTCGACTTGCTTACCCTTGATTCTCACCCACGTCTCGGTGACCTTGTCCACCCTGTTGTCGTCGGCCAGTGTCACCACCGTGAACGCCCTCTCGGAGCTCTTGCTTCGCTCCCGCGGTACCACTGCGCCGTTCACGTACACGGTTCCATTGCTTCCAACCGCGGTCATTTTTCGCTCGCCTCCGCACAGCAACTCCTTGTGCATGTGGCCGAACACCACCAGTGGTATCTCGCATTTGCCTTCGCACGACTTGAGTGCTTCTTCCAGATCTATAAACACAAAATCCAGAGAAAAAACAAGTCATTCGCTAGCAATTGAGTGTAACACGATGGAGCTTCATACCGGGATCGCCGTGGTCGCCAGCGCCGGGGTCGAAATCTCGTCCGCAGATATCGCCGGGACTTGATCCCAGCCCTGCCAGAAGAAAGCTTGTGGAGAAGAAAACAGAGAAATGAAGGCTACCAGTGGGTCCATTATGGCCGAGCACAATGATCGCATGCTCTTTTGGAGCACCGAGAGCAAGCTCCGATATCTTTGTTGCGCTTTCCTCAAGACTATGGACACCGTACCTGCATTCAGAAAGAAAGAAAGAAAGAAAAAGAAGTAAAGATGAATCCTTACTTAGGCACCAAAAGAAATGAAAAGAATGGATTGGCAAGCCTTACATCTCCTTGCAGTATGGAAAGCCGAAGAACGCTTTGCGAGGACCTCCCATGGAGAAAGGCCGCGAGCCAACGACTGAGATTTTCAGCCCAGGAAATTCCAGGCGCTTGAATCCGACATGGCTCTCCCCGAGGCTGCAAAGCAAAGACTTTAGAGACTTGAAAGGAGAAGAAAAAGAAAACCATCACTTACAGTCTGTGCTGTTGGAGCACTGCGCTGGAAGTTTTAGAGGCATATCTTCCACTGTACCAGCAGTCATGGTTTCCCAAGATCACAGCCTTTGGCATGTCCAACTTCGACACCTCCTCCACCAATTCCACGTCCTCATTTCCAAAATCTCCTGCTTAGTCGGAAGGATTGAGTGATCTCCCCAAGAAGCATAATTTCTACCGGTGAAGAGGACGAGATCCGGCTAAAAAGAAAGTGTCAGAGCCGGAAAATCAAAACCCCGAGACTCACATTGATGTGCCGCAATGCTTGCTCGTCCACGCTCGAATTCCAGCTCCCATGCTAAGCGATCGATCCATCGGAAAAGAATAAAGATATTTCGATCGAGCTGCTTACCACGTCGCCGACGACCGCGATGACGCGCCCTCCCCCCATCCCTAAAACCCTAGAACACGCCAACATTGCAAGACGAATCAAAAGAATAACAGAAATACCGTACTTTACACGTGTGAGATTCTTACGCGCAAGAAATATTCCACAGAACGTGTACACGTGTCAAGCTGAGACATTGACACGCGTCAAACTTCCACGTCACACTGCCAAGTGGACGAGCCAAGGAATATTCCTCCCTCCTCTACCTGGAGCTAAAGAAACTACTACCAGAGGCTATGGCTGCTCCCGAGATTTTGGTCCTTGAAGCCGTCGTGCTGCGCAAACATCTCGCCGGCGTCACTAGCCATGGGCGCGGGCGTCGCGTCGCACGGCGGTATGAAGCACTCGGCCGAGAGCCCCGCCACATTGTAGGCCGCCTCGTCGATCCACCATGACTCCTCCACCCGGCTGCGTGTGTGGCACATGGACTCCTCCCCGAATCGAAACACGCTCACCACCGTGCTGCCGGCGTGCGGTACCACCGGTGCCCCCTCCTCCACCGCGCGGTACTCCCCCAGCCGCGTCTCCACCGTCACCTCCCAGTAGGACACCGCGCCGCGCGCGGCCTGGATCCTCGTCAGCTGCGAGTCTTCCATCCTCACCAGCAATCCTGAGCGTTGGCTGAAGTAGCCGAACGCCACGTGGCGTATCACCTCCTCCTCCACCTCGGGGTCCGCAGGGTCGGCCCCGGCCCCGTGACGCGCGGCGGAGGCGTCTGCCGGAGGTACCGCGCGGTACCCTGCGGTAAGTGCGTACGAGTCCGCCGCCAGCTTGAGCACGAAGCAGTCCTCGCCGTCCGTGCGCTTCTCGCCCACGCACCGCGCGTTGAGGAACATGGAGGCGAGCGTCTTGTGGTCGAGGCCGTGCAGCGCGCGGCGCAGCGGCCGGATTGGCCCGCGGACCGACTGCGATCCCGCCATGGGGCTCTGCTTCCACACCGTCTTGGCGTCGCAGCCGGCGCGGACCTTGGTACCGCCCACCGACAGCTCCACGTACCATCTGTCCGGGAACATCTGCCAGAGGACGAAGCTGCCGGACTCGCAGAGCTCCCTCCCGGGCCGGATGATGCTGCTGGCGGTGGTGGAAGCGGCGGTGGCGATACCGCTGGTGGTGGTGGTGGTGGTGGTGGGCATTTGCGCGCCGCCGGCGGTGGACTCGAATTCCGTGAGCACCATCTTTAGCCTCCCCGAGGCGTACGAGTTGTGGATGGACGTGTGGAGCTTTGCTCCCCCCGTGGCGGCAATGTACTGCTGGACGATGTACTGGGCGCTGCTCGTTTCCTGGCAAAAAGATCGAGCATTGGATGAGAGATCGAACCTCGAGAGGTCAAATCCAAGAACACACGAGCGCAAGAACCAAAGATCGAGCGAATTCACCGAGAATCCACTCCTAAGAAAAGACCAATTTCCGCGGCAAACAGAGCACTCGATCAAAGCAATTCCAGCGCAAGAAAAGAGGAACCCACTTGGAATTCCGCGACACGATCGGACCCTCGAGCTCGGATCGCTCAAAGAATCGCGAGAGAGAATGGATTCAGAACTTACAATTGGGCTGTCTTTGGGGCTGACGGTGGGAGGAATCTTTCCAACCGGGAAAGGGCCGAGAGAAATTCCCAGCGTCGCCAGCAGCTGCCTGGCTCTGAAGCGCTTGCTGCATTGAGCGATTCCGCCGCTGCCGCGGAGGCCGAGGTGTTGCAAGTGATTTTCCAGCTGTTCTTTCACCCATCCCTTGACGCCGTTGCTGTTCTTGGCCGCGAATTTGTCCGGGAATTCGAGCAGTGGCGGCAGCGCCTCGCCCAGCATTGCCACGGTCGGCGACTCGGAGCGTTTCCTAAACACCATTTCCTTCCCCCTCGATCGGTTCCTAGCTGAGATACTCCCGCGTCGCCATCTTTGCCTTGATCAATCCCTCCCCGAAAGAAACGCTTGATCCTTTCAAGAGGCGAGGGTTCTCTCGATCTTGCGCGTGAATCAAGCAAAGCAAAGAACAACAGTAGTGGTCTCCACAAGCCAAGAAGCTACTCTTTCTTGCTCGAAACTTTTCCAGAAACTCTCAGCAAGCATGGAGAAGCAACTTAGATCCGAAATCGATGGAAGGGCGAAGCGAGCAAGCTTTCGTTCTCTTTCTTTTGATACCACCGACAGCTCCAGACGCAGCACACACACAGACACACGATCTCCGTCTCTGGAAATCTCTAAACCCTATTCACTTCCACCTTTAAAATACCACCTTTTACTTTCCTGCTTTCCCATTTAACTATTTTCGCAAAGGTGGCGTACCATTTCTTTTGGCAAAAGTTGGCGGTTTCCAATGCGGCGGTGGGTGGCTGATTGCCATTCATACAATTCTGACTATAGGGGACCTTCCGTACAATGGAATGAAAAACCTTGGAAGAAATGACCAGCATATGGCTAGGCTTGAAAATATTTGCCAGGACAAAATGGCTCTCGATTGCGATTGGAACTTTCGGTTTGAATGCGTCAATACACTGTAAACATTATAAAGTATTTCTTCACACGTGGTTTTGTTTTGTTGTTTTTTTTCTCAGGAAATCACGAGCTGGGCGGAAGGAGGCTTTCGGCTGCTGTCGAGATCACAGTCGCGGCCAAAAACTAGGAAAAGAGAGCTTCTGTTAAAACTTCGCAGTTTACACCTTTGATTCGGCAGCTGCCGTGTGCGTGTGACGTCCAAACTTCCCTTTAATTACTGGAATAGAGACCCCGTCCCCTTGGAAAACATATGGCCCAGAAAACTGAAAACTCCACGCACCATGATGCCTCGTTCTCGTCCCCCAAAGACGTGCCTCGCAGCAACCCCGCACGTCATGCCCTAGAAACACCTTCGTCACCTTTCACATAACAATGCATATTCTAAGGTTTCCACCACCTTTTGGTAAGGCTTAGTCTCTTTCACTGTCGTATGCTTGCATGTGCACGACCACTAGCCCATGTAGAGTGTGTAAGACGCAGTGTCTGCATCACGACGAATATCCACCGAATTTTAGTTACATTTGTTTTTTTAATTCCATCCATCAAAACTAGCCACAGTATGGCGAATCATCTCCCCACGCTACGCCGATCATCCACAGTGGGGATCTTTTTCTCTCCTCGGCCAAAATCTCGCTATGAAACCACCACGCCAGAGATCATGCCTGTGTGACGATGTGATTACTTTGGCACGTTGTAACACTCCATAGCATTTCCCTCATGCGCGCCTGTGGAAATCTTTCCTTTTCTTGCCGGCTCGTCTCACGCGAGAAAATCGCTTGAGCGCGATAAAACCCCAGATATCTGGAAAGGAAGCAAAGTCAAACAAGCCATAAAAACTCCGCCGGAGCTGTCCGTCACGTCCTAGTCTTGCAGTCAAAGAAGAGAGAGCGAGCGGCCACAGTGCAACTCAAGAAAAAAGAGGAAAAAGCCGATAGCTTTGAGGAGAGATCCACTGGGAAAACAACACAAGCGCACATTTAAGCAAGAACTATAGAAAGAAATGTAAAGAAAGAACGAACCACGGACAGAGAGCGAAAGCTAGCTGGAAAGGAGAAAATTGTCCTTGGTTCGTTGTAGTTTAAGTGATGAAAAGAAGGAGATTGCCAGTGTCTGTCCCAAGCCAGCAAGAGAATTCCGCAACTTATAAACGTGAGGGGAAAGTACTTGGTATGTGTAAATAGGATGAAACATGTATTTGATCTGCGTACAACAACAACACGGCTGCCTGTGTTAAAATACCAACGTACCTTTGGACTGATAGCCTGGTCGCTCAGAACAATCCAAAGCAGTCGTAATGGCATCGCCCTCAAAATCCCTTGGAGGCCTCAAGGTACTTTATTTCCCCATTTGAGTGTGGAAGAGGTGGGTCCAAACTTTCGAAGCCCAGTACTGCGTCCGTGAACGCCATCTGCACGGGCGAAAAGTTTTAAGGGTGAAGAAACTTTAAGTTTGAGACTTTGCCATTCAATAATACCTCGAGGTCATGCTCCGCGAGCCTCAGCTTCTCCTTGCAGTTCCTCACATCCGCAAACGCTTGTTTCATCTGCGTAGAAAGAAAATAAAAAACACTAAACACTTGAGCTGATTTCTTACCTGTCTGAGGTAGTCAAGATGGCTGTTGAACATCGACGTAACATTTGCCAGAGACTGCTCCAGACCCTGCTTGCGAGACAAACATTGTGTTACTATCTCATCTTGCCTCCCTTGGTGAAATGTTTACCTTGTTCTTGTTCAGCATCTCTTCACTTGTTTTGTTCGCACGGTTGAGGTCGCTTTGCAAAGCCGCTACCTGACATAAACGAAAGAAAACGCACGGTTACAGCTGTTCAACACCGAGGATGCACGCCCACCTGTTCCCGCCGATCTCGTTGCAATTCAAGAGCTTTTGCAAGCTCCTCTTTCACCTGCTAGGAGTGCAAGAACTGAGTACGATGGACATGGATGAAAACACGGCTAACCTTGCTATTATCGCCGTTATGTTCCTTGGAGGTTTTTGTTTTCTCAGCTTTGGTACTGTCGTAGCTGAAAAGAGAAAAATAGAACTTCCGATTAAATTATTCTCTCCATTGAATTCAGCTTCTTACCGATCGTAGCTTGAGACTGGAGACGGACTCACGGACCGGCTTGTATCTGAATCGAAAAAAGTTAGCTAACTTAAAATGCAGCCATCGAGAACAACCGTCTCGCGGAGACCGATATCTACGATAATAAGGAGAGCGGTCACGACGTCTTCGCTTTGGAGAATAGCGCCTGCGATGACAATCGCCATTAGAGACTTTTCATAGAAAAGAAAAGAACAGAAAAAGAAAAAAAAAGAAAATCAATCTCACCCGTATCTGTCCCGCCTGTCTTCTCTATCCCTCCGGCTATCCCTGTCTCTGTACGAGTACGAGTCACGGCCACCCCGGTTCTTCACTTCGTTCACTCTGATGGACCGTCCAGCAACAACCTGAATCATGGAATATATACTTCACACAGAAACAAGAAAAATAAAATAAAATACGGATACCTTTCCATTCATTCCGTAGATGGCACCATTAGCAGCCTCCGAAGTGGCAAAAGTGATAAATCCATAGCCCCGGGACTGCCCATCGTGGTCTTGAATAATCTGGAAAAGAAAGACGCAAAGAAATAAACAGAAAAGAACTCGGCCAACTCACCAGAGGGACTTAGTAAATCAAGAACATAACAGATTCTGCTAACAAAAATGCCTAGAAGTGCCATGGATACACTCAAGGAAGGAAAGAAAACCCAGTACGAAAAGCCCAATATAAAAGCCTGAAACTTTCGAAGGACTTGGCAAGTTCGATCGAAAAGATATCTTATCCCGATGCGTTGCATAGAAATTCGAACAAAAAAACGGCGCCGGGAGAAAAAAATTCCAAAATAAGTGCCACAACTGCGTTCCATCCATAAACATATGAAGCGAGAAAAGAAAGAACCTCCAAATGCCGTGAAAAACAAGCTAAGAAGCAACGGAACAGGCAGGAGAAAAGAAAAGAAAAACCAAAGAATGCAAGCGGAGAAAGAGAGAGGAGCTCGATCGAAAAAACCCACCTTGACTTTGTCGATTTCTCCAAACTCCTCGAACGTGGAGCGAATCAAGTCCTCCGTGACATCGTATGCCAAGCCGCCAACATAGACAGAGGTCTGATCGCTCACAGTCATCGCTGCGAATGCACCTCGCTCTTGCAAGCGCCGATTATCGACAGCAGGAGAACAATGCCGAGCTCCGGGAGCACCGAATCGTCCTATCGCCGGCAGTGCCTTACCTTGCTCGGCGCCATACCCAGAGAGAGCACTACAAACCCTAATCTTGGAGCTTTGGAAGCAAGTCTTCACTATAAAGAGAAAGATTATGGGATAACCGCACTGAAGTTTATACACAGCTGACCAAAAAAGAAGAAGAATGAGAAAAGCTTAGAAGAGGACTCTAGTTGGAGAGAATTTCAAGCTCCGCCCAAAGGAGTGGTGAGCATTTTGGTTGCGCCGCCTCGGGGGAGATGTTTAATCCTTTGGAGAGTATCGACGCCACCGTCTTCATTGTCGGCCTTTTGCTCGAGTCGGGATGAATGCACAGCCGGATCACCTCGCAGACAACCAGCAGCTGCTTTAGATCGAAGGATTTGAGCGACGAATCCACCATGTAGCCGAGAGTCTCAGGAGAACTCAAGAACTCTAGAGCCTGCAAGCAAGAGGTTAGAAGATCTTCATAGCAAGGAAGCGAGAAACTAAAAAATGAAGAGAGAAAACTAAACTAAGATAGATCGAGAGGCTAGCCAGGAAAGAGAGAAACTAGAAAATGAGAAGAGAGAACTAGACTACTAGATCGAGAGGTTAGATCTTCATAGCAAGGAAGGAGAGAACTAGAAAATGACAAGAGAGAAAACGAGATTATGCTAGATCGAGAGAAAAGAAGAGAAAGAAAGAAATGATTTCAGAGAGAAAACTAGACTACGTTAGATCGAGAGAGAAAAAGGAGAAGAGAGAAAACTAACTATGCCAGATCGAGAGAGAGAGAGAGAGAGAGAATTAAAGAGTTTTTTACCCATTCCATGAGAGAGCCCTCCTTCTCGGAGTAGGGTAGTCGTCCGGTCACTACCTCCAGCAGGAACATGCCAAAGCTTAAAACGTTGCTCTCGAAGTCTGGTGCGTGGCGGTCGGAGCCTTCGAAGTCATCGTATCCGATGCTGTTGCTAAAAGATTTCCTTCGGTCACTTTTGATCACAGCGAGCTTGGAGATTCCAAAGTCGGCCAGCTGCATCGAAAGAACGAATCACTACATGACAAGCGCAAAAGAGGAAATAGAGACAATTCGTACCTTTGCAGCGTAGTCCTCCGTGAGATAAATTGCAAAAGAATCGAAGTTTGAGTGGCTAGCAGGCGGCACAAGTTCGTGGTGCATGTACTCCAGCCCGTATGCCGCTCCCATCACGATCCTCATTCGCGTCGTCCAATCCAGATGATCCGAGTCCACATCTGGATGTGTGTCGTTAGCTACTGAAATAAACCAATAGAAAAACTTTGCTTACTGTGAAGATGTTCGGACAAAGTTCCGTTTGGAACATACTCAAACAAAAGCATCCGCGCGAAAGGTTCTTCCTCGGCACAGTATCCCAGCAAGTTCACCAAATGCGTGTGCTTCATACGCGCAAGTGCCTCGATCTGCAAGCAAACATGACGACATTAGTACAATATACAGTGATGACGAGATGTCAGGTGCACCTTACGACGAAAAAATATTTCGGAGCTTGCTGTCCAGCTTGCTGCTGAGATTCTAATACTCGTGACGGCCACTTCTGTTCCGTTTGAAAGTGTTCCTTTGAAAACAACAGTATCCGGAGACGACCCAATTATGTTGCTGAAGTCTTCGCATGCTGCCTGGAGCTCTGCCCAAGTTAGAGACGGGACATCTGTAAACAAAGAAAACGACGGTGTTAGATAGAAATCACACTGCAAACGCCACTAACCCGTTACAAAGACCTTCTGTAGATGTCCACTCATACCAGCCTTCCATGGGCTGACCGCCACAGTTTTCCGTTTGTAGAGAAAAACGCCTACCATAAGAAAGACGAACACAACAGCTGAAAATACTGATAGTAGCACGGCCAACGTTTGGAAGCCTTTGTGGTGATGACTATAATGACGAAGTTTGACGTGGTGATCGTGGGAGCTGTGAACACCGTTAACTCTCGTTGCGTTGTTCTTCAGCCTGCTTTGCAGAAAGCGATGAGGACGTTCTGCGATGCCATTATGCAAGTGTGACCATCAGCTGTGAAGCTCGTAAGTCTTACCACAAATGTGCTTGCTGATTAGACGTTCTGACAAATGTAGACAGTCCCCTACAGTAGCACTACGCACAACCACAATGATATTACAGACCAGGCCTTTGCTTACATGCTTACCTTGGAAAACATTCAGTAACAAAAGAATTCTCTGACACATCAAGCGTTTGAAGGCTTTTCAGGTTACAAAAAGCACGTCCTGGAATGAATCCGGTGAAGTGATTATGGTCCAGGCGCAAATGCCTTAGCCTGACTAGCTTCCCAAATTGCGTCGGCAGACTTCCTTGAAAATGGTTGTTCCCAAGATTCCTTCAGATCAAACCCCAAAATGAGCCAAGAACAAATAGTAAGAAGTGAAGATCACTTACAGCGTACGCAAGTTCACTAGATTGCCAACGTTTGGAGGAATAGTGCCAGATAGATTATTTCCGCTCAAATCCAAGTGAAACAGTCTCTTCAGAACCCAGAGCTCCTTCGGAATTGATTCAGACAGCTCGTTTCCTCTCAAGTCACTAAAAACGAAACGTTATCTCAGTCATCGTCCAAATTAAAAGATCAAAATCTCACATTTTCTTCAGAAACTCTAGCCTTGATAGCTCGGGGGAGATTTTTCCTTGAAGCGACAAATTCACCAGTTCCCTGTTAGACGCACCACTTAGTCCTTGGAAACTCCAGCCTGTCGAGAACACTTACAATTTTATCACCCGGCCATCGGATGAGCAAGTCACGCCTCGCCACTGGCACAAAGAACCATGGTCCGCGCTCCATCCGCTTAGAGCACCCCGAGGATCGCTCGATATGCTCTGCCTGAAGGCCGACAGAGCCGATGCTGCGGCAAGACGCGATCATCGACACCGTTGAATCAAAAAATCCACAAACAAACGTACCCTCATTCGCGCTCGTGAGGCAAAATCCACCGTATAAGCTGGACACCAGGACAAAGACAAGGGTGCTCAGCATAATCCACGCTCCATCCCAGATCCTCATGACCCTAACCATGATTTCCTGCGGTAATCGGCATCCCTGGAACCTGCATTCCCTAGATTATCGGCCGGAAACGCCAAGGCTGCGAGATTTCCAGGCGCGCAGGCGCCAGGAATGAAGCATCGACCGATCCAGAGAAAGCCAAGAGAGCCCGCCCCTGCAGCAAAATCCACGCGAGCGCTCTTCAAAGCGCCAGAGGGAAGAGGAGACGCTGCCGCTGCCGCATTGCCCCAGAGCGCGCAGAGCAAGCCATAAAGAAATGAGAGCTCCGAGACGCCATAGCTGCGCTTTCCAGGGCTCCGTCAGAAAGAGGGGAAAGCCTTTCCCTCTCAAAATCTTCGCAGCTTCACTGGAAGAGAGACGCGATCGCGGCCGCACATCTCGCCGCGAGCAATCGACGCCTCAGATGCGGGGGGTAATCTATCATTGGACGAAAATCGTGCCACGTCATGGGGGCAAATGCGTGGTCCGAAAACCATAATGTGTACGACGGGTACGGCAGTTGGGCCATGGTCGTGTCAAGACAGGGACGCGGTGCTCGTCGAATTTGTTTGGTCACTTCAAAGCCAAAAGTTGGCGGAGGAATTCCAATCTTGACCTAGAAAAGGGCTTTCCTTTGAATAGTTACATAGTTTTTGTTGGTGAGCTTGCAAAGCAGCTACCTACATTGCGTATTCAAGGGGTGAAACGCCAGATCCACCGTCAATCCGCGTAATGACCAATCAATCCGTGCCGTCCCCGGCGGGACTCGTCCACTTTTCACTGAATTGCCATAGCCGCTGGGCCAACTTCATGTCGTTTGCGTACGAAACGCACTCGGCCTTGTTGCAATCCACGAAATACTTTCCGGAGACTCCACTCACCCCCGGATGAGTGGCAACGTAGCACGTAGTCGCGGCCCCCTTCAGCAAGCATAATGCCAATCGTTATTAAAGCAATCCAACCAAAAAGTAAAACGCACTAAGCAACTTGCCTGTGAGGGGGATTTGCTGAATTCGAATTGCTTGGAGAATATGCTCGAGATAATGTCTGTGTTAGTTCAAGGCGTACGGAATCGTGAGACATGATCATTTTTGTGATCTTACATGAGATGTACTCGGGGGCTATCCGTACGATGTTGGTGTGGATGACTCCTGGATGGACTGCATTTGCTGTGACGTTAGCGCCGCGCTCCTAAACACGCGACTAAATAATCAAAGATTAGACATAACCACGGCTTTGGATACCTTGAGCCGCCTCGCCAGCTCTTTTGCATGCAAGATGTTGGCGAGCTTGGAGATTCCATAGCCAAGAGGGTACGTTGTAGAAAAGCTGGCAAAGATCATAGTGAATCCCTCATTGAGAACTATCGCATAGAAAAACTACCTTGCTGGATCGTTTAGCTTATCAAACTCGATGCCATCCCTGGCAATCCTATAGCACTGCGAAGCCACATTAACGATCCGACCCTCCATCCTCGAGTCCCGCGATGTTTCGACCATCTTGTCCAGCAACAGCTTTGTGAGCAAGAAATGCCCTGGAAAAGACAAGACAGAGGAATCAGCACCGGGAATAATTCCGTATATAACATGCATCGTGGTCCTTCCAAGCGCCAGCTAGATACTGCAGGTGTGTATTTATACATATCTATCCATCTCTATCTTTGTTTACCCTCCCCCGCGGTAAATGCCGGTTTTCCACTGGCGGTGGTATTGACTTTTTTTACCGTGCGGTGAAAGCCTCACACACCTAGGTATCAGCCCAGGCCCACGGGTCTTTTGGTCGGAGTGCGCGCGTACTAAATTGTTTGCCTGCTGGAGAAAAGGTGTGGGTGCATAGAATTCTTGTGAGGATCTCCTGCCGTACGCTCGTACGTACGCTCGGGGTGTCACCGTATGATCATGGTGAAACTTCGAAGAGGGAGTGTGTGTGTCATGCAAACTTAAAGAGAACTTTTGGGGTGTTTGAGAGGTGTTTACCCAAGTGATTTGTGGCAAATTGGAGTTCGATTCCATCCTCTGACCGCATGAACCTTGGAACCAGGGCTCC